TATTGCACTGGGCCACCCCAGCTCCTGGGCGCTCCTGGAGCCCTTCAAACACTCCTCAAGCACTTGCTCCAAGGAGGGGCCCTTCCTCTCTGACTCAAAGGCCCTCTTCTCTATTTCCTTTGTCCTTTTGGCTCTAGGAGCCAATGGGGGTGGTGGACCTCTTGGGGGGGGTCACAATTCTGCTCCTCTAGGCATTCAAAGCCCTCCTCCATTTCCTGTGTCCCAAATGACCTCACGGTCGTGCTTTGGGGGCACCTCCCTTGATTCCCAGGCCAGGAAGCAGGAGGAGGGGGCAAGTGGGAGGATCTGGGCTGGGGAATTGAGGTGAAGTGCGTGTGTCAAGCCCGGGAACCAGGGAATTCCCCAGGGGCTCTTGCACATCAGTTTGTGGTGGGGTGGGGGTCGGGAGGGGGGCTGGAGTTAAGTCCTTAAGCTCTTTAGCCAGTGTCTCATCCAGCAGCTCAGCTCATCCGGCTCTGCTGGGTGGAGGTGGGGAGTGGGGGTGAGGAATGGTTCCAACAACTCACCCCAGGCAGTGCCCTAACCCTCTCCCCGACCACAAACACACCGCACCCAAAGTGGGAGCTGTTCCCCAACGCAGCGGGGACACGAGTGATGCCCTGCGTGGGGGGAAGTATAAGGGCGGGGAGGGAAAGAGTCAGAGACGGGAGTCCTGTCCCACCCAGTTCCTCATCAGTGCCCAAAAGCACCTCCCTCAGGGTCGGATTCACCCCATCTCTCCCATCTCATGTCCCCTCCAGGTCCAGGGTTTCACTCACCGAGAGCAGTCAGCCCCAGGAACAAAACCCGCAGCAAGCTGGTCGCAGGGGACCCGGGCAGGGAAACCATGGCCTTCCCTGGCCCCGACGGAGTCAGGGTCGCCGGCTCCGGGACACACCAAGCGACAGGTGCTGGGGCCGCACGACAGCCGGAGCGGAGGCGGGAGCCGGGCCACTGACACCAAGGGCGGCTCTGGCCAGAGTCTGCGTGCGTGTGCCGATGGTGGGGTGGGGACCGACGGGGACTGGGGGCGGGGCATTCGAGGGGGCGGAGAGGTCGCCGTCCTCGCGGGCGGGGCTCGAGGGTGACCCGCCGCAGCGGGACGCTCCTCGCGCTCCGACGGCCGGCTCCCGCGGCCTCCACCGAGTCAGGACGCACGGTGGGGTCGGGTGAGTCGTGGCGCCCTCACAGCCGGCCGGGGGCAAGGGCAGAAGACAAGAGCGCTAACTCTCAGACTACGCCATAGCCTTCCCCCTCCGCTAAGTGGGGTAGGAAGGAGGGCCAGGAAGGAAGGGAGGTTTGGGGATTATCCGACGTCTAGGGGCCACCCGTACCCGACACCCTAAGCGGCCGGGGCTCCCGCCCGACCAACCGGCTCCGAGCTTGGGGGTAACGCGTTCTCAGCCTAAGCGGGGAGGAGGGGAGCCGCGTTTTCCCGGGGCCACTGGGGCTCCGCAGTGTGGGGCTTGAGGCGGCAGGAAAGGTCCAGAGTGCCGGCCGCGCGGGCCCGGTTCTGCTGCCCGAAACTACCAATTTCCCAGGGGCGGGTTGGGCCGCGGGAGCGGGCAGGGAGAGAGGCTCAGGAAGGGAGGCGGCCACGCCCACCCCTGCACGTGCCGCGTGGCCCCGAGGCTGCGGTGGAGGATGCGCAGGCGGCGGGCCCGAGGACCGTGTTCACCTGTGACCGGAGAAGACGGGGCCTCTCAGCAGGTTCTCGGAGACTCCCTAAAACCAAGGCCCGAGGGTCACCCGGAGCTTGCGCCGCAAACCCGAGCAGGGAGGTGACTGGCGCAAGGAAACCCCAGGAGCTGAGCAGGAAACTGAGGAAACAAGATCCCGGTTCCCCGCTTAACTCATAAAGGCTTTTGCCTTATGCAAACTGGGGAGGAGGGGGCAGCTGCGGGAAGGTAGACTGGACCAAGTCCCTCCATTTATTTATCCCCATGTCTTCGCTGCCTCCCATCCCTCCTCAGGCCCGCTCTGATCCTTTAATTCCCGGGACTAGATCATGTTCGGGGTGAAATTTAATTTAACCGTCCCTCCCCGCGCCAGCCGGTCACGGGCACCTCTGCGCCCTCTGGCGGCCGCAGCTCTCTTACAGAAGGGCACGCACCCGTTCTGGCTTCTCGGTCGGACAGCCAAAATAAAGATGCTTCAAACATCCCGGCACGGCTCAACCACAGAGCAAAGGTCACCGAGGACAGAAAGCATAACAACGAATCCCTGGCGCTGCCTGCTCTAGGTGACAGTTGACTGGGTAGAAAAGCAGCCAGGCCTCCTGGATTCCATTTACTCCACACGGCCCTGCTCTGTTTTAACACTGAATGTGGTCTTTGAGCCTGCGCTGCCCAAGGTCTTTTTCTACACAGCGCCCCGTAGACCCTCTCAGCTGCTTCTTCCTAGTGTGACCTGCCTGGCTGCTCTTTAAATACCTGGCATGCAGTGGCTTTGAGAAATGGCTATGCAAACACTAGACTGCTCATGCAACCCCTGGAATCTAGTATTTGGCGGCTCAGTGACAGCAAAGGCAACAGGAATAGGTAACTGCTAGTCTCATATCCTTACGCAGGGACCTACAAACTTGGAATTGTCAAGTAGATTGTGTGTGTGTGTGTGTGTGTGTGTGTGTGTGTGTGTGTGTATATATATACATATATACATATATATATGGGGGGGAGGGTGCTGTTGGTTTGGTTTGTCTAGTCTATCACACACTTTTTTTTTTTTTTTACTTTGGTCTTCACTGCAAAGCACCTCTTGTAAACATCCCTCCTTTATTTCCAGCTCAGGCCTAGGTTACCAAATAAGTAATTCCTTCCAAAAACAGCAGTACAGTGCTCTTGGTTGTATCCCAGGAGAACCAAAGCATCTGATTACAGAGGCTGTGCTCATCCCTATCAAGTGCTATGTAAGGCAGGGAGGGCCTCAACATTCACTCTCAGTAGCTAACGTTCCAGAATTTGCACCCCAGATAATTTACAACATCAAAAGTAAAGATACAAATAAAGATTTGTAGGCAGTGCCAGTCCCTTCAGGACTCTTCCACTGCTCTCACCCAATCAAAGAATTTTCTATACTATCTCCTACTCCAGCCACTTCTTTTCTGCTGACCCTGAGGCAGTCAAGTGGTAGAAGTTAGCAGAGCAGTTCTATTACTTTCTGGAAGTTTTTGTTGAGATGCAGTTTAGGGTGAACATTGCTCTCTACCCTTGTGTAAAATGGGAAGGTTAGTGCGGAAGATCTGTGAGTGACCTGAATAAACAGGTTGTGTGCAAGAGCTAAGTTCATAGTTTCATATGTTAAGAGACTTGCAGCTCACTAGTGTTTCTCCCAGTCATACCTCATCTTTTATCTCTACAGTATTTTTTAATGCTGATTCTTACATTTGAATGTAGTGTCTCCATCCTCCTGGAATCAGTTATAAGGCTTCATTAAGGTCTAAATAGTCTTTTTGTTTTTAGAAATGCTCATATAGTTATCTGACACCCTGCTGTCCTCTTTTCTAGATTGTCCTGGCCAAAGAGAATGGATATTCAGTATCAGGAAGGTACTTTCTTTCCAAGTCGCCATTTTCCAGTGCCCAGCTTTGTCCTCTTGCCCCTACCCCCCTCACCCATCCCAAGCCACATGGTGAAAACACATATTGGATCAGGCTTTGCCATACACTCTGTGCTGCTCACAGTGGTCTAGCAATGCCCTATTCTCAGTAACGTTAGGTAGATCTCAGACATCCTCACTAAATGTTCCCAAATGTTCTGCCCCTGCTAAGTAACTAACAGCAGTGAAAAGCGGGATAGGGGGAAGAAATGAATGAAGCATAATGTTAGTTTTAGGGCTGATCAGTGGCAAAGTTTGGGGGATGCCATGTACTACTCCTGGTGATAATGCTTTTTCCTGCAGCACTTGGCACTAATAATATGAGATTATTGCTACAAAATGGTCAATGAAGCCTCGGTCTTTAGGACTATAATTCCAAGTTCCAAAGAAGAGCAAACTCATGAGAGTTTCCTAAAGCCCATACCTACAGCCTGTGCCCAGGGAGAAGAGGCGCTGCACTCAAATATTCCAGGACATTTATTTATGCTCTCCATGAACTAGCACCCACCTTCAGCAGCTCACATCAGGAAACACCCAACTCCATAAACCTAGACTCAAAGGACATTAATAAAAGTCATCCCATTGGTTATAAGCTCTCTAGTCACTAGAAAAATAAATAAGCATCAACCAACCAAGAGGTGTCAGAATGAGAAAAACCAATGATTTAAGACAACTCAGGTTGCAGGAAAGAACATTTTTAAATCAATATGCAATTTTATCTTCAATAGTACAGAAAAACGGGGAGAATTATAGCTCTTACCTGGATTTGCAGTCCATTTAAAGTAGAGTACCCGAGAGATGCTGGGGGAATCATTAAAGATAAATAACCAATCTAACAAGTCCCTGTCATGAGACCAAAGTGACCCTTGACTACTCCACTAGTAAGGTAGTTCTTAGCCAAGAGTACTAACCTCCAACTGGAGTGCTAGTTGACCCACAGAAATCACTGAAAGATCTAAATGTGACAGTTACCCTCCTAATGGACTGATACCTTACAGTTTCCTAGCCTATGGATCACTTAAAATTTTTGTTTGGATGTTTCTATTAGATCTTCCCTCCTTTTTTTACAGGAAGTATGACGACATCAATTCTCCACCTGTGCTCCTGAGAGAGCTGCCCCTGATTACTGAGTATAAAGATGAGGAATGAGAGTCTCTTACAAATTCATGTACGTAGGGCCAAAAGGAATATCCTTTTGTAGCTTTTTAAAAAGTAGCACAAAATGAAATGTCCAATGACCTTTGTTACTCTGACAAGAGATAATGACATTGGTCAGTGGGGTATAGAGAGTGAAAGGAAGTGAAGCTGCCCTACTCTGTTGTGTTCATCCCTAGCAGTAAAGTCAGAGCACAGTCCCACTGCCAGTGCGACCACACTCTGCTACAAAAAGCTCCACTAGTACGCCAAGAGGCCAGGAATTACTTTAATGATTTTTTTAAAAAAAGTTTAAATGGCAGCACAACCATAAAGTTGGTACATCACAGAAACAAAGGTCTTTGCAGGCAACACTGATTGGGAATAGCAAAACACTTGATTGGTGAAAAAAATGAAACTCTAAATTATATACAATAGTAGCTAAGGGTAATATTGAAAAACAGTCTTATTTACTGTGACTCAAGATTTAACTTGCCATTATCTATTGCTTATTTATTCAAGGTTGTAAATAATACTTATATAGAGACATAGAGATGTGTAAAAATGAAACATCGTGAAAAAAATACAATTTTTCAATTTCATATGAAACTCAAAGTATAAGTTTTGTCCAATATGGAATGTACCTACATTTGTTTACATCAGGGCTCTAAAATCCATTTAAAAATTGATTTTTGTTTTTAAAAAAGAAACAACTGACCCACCATGCAAGTCCGCTGTATAGCTTGCTGGCTCAAAATGAGCATTTTCAGGTGAGGTCTGTTTTTTCTGCCCAAAGTCTACTATGATTTCTTAGTTGTACTGGCCCGATCGTGGAAAGAGTTTCCATGAAGTCTGATGGCAGCATCCGGATGAGGGACAGTCTGGGTAACAGGATGTGAGTAGAGAAGAGAGAGGTAAGAGCCCAAATCCTTATGAAGGATGACATTCAGTTGTTAAATTTTAAGGGGTAGCCAATGGCTTTTTCCAGGCACTCAACTAAAGAGCCAGCGGAAAGAAAATCCCTCTCTACTTCTACAAATTTGATATAGATGGATTTGGGGGAAACTCCAGGATCCACAATACAGTTCTGAGACAAGAACCCATTAATACCGACCCAATCTTTGCTGAAGGTTTTGGTATTTGCTTGGAAATGTAAAAATAAGCATTGCTGCAGAGTCCTGACCTCAGCGATCCCGAGGTAGCAATAGATAATTCGGGTAGGTTCTATTTCCACCTGTAGTGAGGCTTGTGCTGAAAGGGTTTCCAAGTCAACCCGGCCCTCCTTTCCTGGGTCCAGGGAATGTCGCTCCACATGGGGCGAGGGGGGCCTCTCAATACACTCTTCGTAGCCAATGGCATAAAGGCCTGGGCTTTTGGGAATGCCTCCCGGCAATAAATACTGAACAACGTTCCCACCGGTTGGTTTGGAGTGGGCAATGGGTATCCAGTCAACTTCCATGTGCAGCTCCAGGCACCGTGCTTCACTAATAGTGATCTCCAAAAACTTGTAGTAAACGTTTTTCCAGTTCATTTTCTGCACTCGGGTCATGATGATCCGTCCCTCAGGCTTCTCAGAATTGAAGTACTCCCGGAGTCGCTTGCCAAGGGGCACCTGGGAGCTGATCTCAGCATAATGGTAACGGATATCCTCTTTCCAACGGGTGTTATAACCAATTCCAAAAATGGCCAGTTTATTAGAGAGATGAAGCCTTGAAAAGTCTGTCCAGCTCTGAAACAGTTCCCATTTCAACTGTACTGATTCCAAAATCTGTATGATATTCTGCATGATGTCTCTTTTCCTGGAAAGAGAAATGAAAGTCAGATTCTTCAGGTGTCTAGATGAGCACTGTCCAGTAGAAGTTTCTGCAATGGTGGATATGTCCTGTGTCTGTGCTGTCCAATATGTTAGCCATTGCACTTAAGATGTGGCTAGTGTGAGTGAGGTATTAAGTTTTTAATTAATTTTAAATTACACTTAAATAGCCATAGGTGACTAGTGGCTACCATATTGGACTGCGCAAGTCTAGATAATCATAGTATTAAAATCTGAGACATGCTCACCCTTAGGAAGTTCCTAGGAACTAGTGAAAAACTGCTTTCCGTTACTTCTAAAGTCTGGCTGTATTCCACTTAGTAACTATTGATACATAAGACCCTAGGATTTCAGAAACCAAGGATCATGTACTTTTTAAAGTGGCTAGTATAGTACATATGATGACCTTCAGACCTAACTACCAAAAGCAGGTGAAGGATGCTGTATTCAGAAAAGTAACCAGTAGGTATCACTTAAAAGAATGAACACATTAATTTCTAACTTGGAAATTCTGAAAGTTCAATAAGTTTGGCCCATACATGCTGGCCATAGGAAAATACACAACTGATTATGACTATTGATATGACTATTGATCTGATACAAAAACATGAAAAAAGGACATTTTCTTCTATTTGTCTGAAATACATTACTATTCTCAAATTTAAAAGAACTGTCAGTTTAGCACAGAATTAAGATCTGAGAATTCAGATGAAAAAGTTCCATTATTAAGCTTCAGTTTTAAGAGAAAAAAAATTCCAGATAATGAATTGAGATTTTTCTAAAATATATTTTATAAAGGGAAGCAAAAGTATAGAAATTATTTCAATTTTGATTTGGACAGTTAACAGAAGAAGACAAAGTACAGGATAATTCTTGTTTCACGTGCTGCTTAATTCATGTAATTCCAACGGATACTTCATGATGATTCGTACATTTATGTGAGGATATTTCTCAGGTAGGGTACAACTTTGATGTTGGAAGACTGAGGTTTGTTAAGTATCAACTTAGCAACAAACAATTACACTCGACATCAATCACAGGTTTAAGCTACAAAAATACTCAACTACCACACTCACATACAATCAAACACAGGCAAGAAAAGAGGGTGTAATGGTGGTTTGCTAACAGCTTCTTGGAAGGCGACAGATCCTGGAAACTTTATTCTTAAATGCTCCTACCTTCTGGAAGAGCTTTTGGAACAAACTGGGGAACCTTCCACATAGTCATTCTCTCTTACCTTCCTTGATTTTCTTTTCAAGATGGCAAAGAGCTAATGTTTTGTTATCAGTTGCTTCTTGAACCAAAGACTGCCCTGGACTTATCCTCCACACTTTAGTTTGTCTTGAAAGCTACTCAAGTATCTAAGTGGCCATCAGGATGAAATCACTGCATTTCTGGAGATTGCTTCTCTTCTCAGAGTACACAAAGGCACTCGATCACTTTTCTAATATTTAGATTGTGGTGCTTGTGAGGCTAAGACATAGGACCATGTTTCTGCATGGGTCAATGCTTTCAAGAAAAATTATCTTTCATAGCTACCATTCTTCCTGTCCTCTTTTAAAATATTTTACTGATCTCAAGGAGGACTCGGCTAAGGAGGTGGGATGGAGAGCAGAGCTTTTTGTCTGTTTTGCTCACTGCTGTACTCCTATGCCTGACATACAGTAGGTATTTGATAAATAAGTGGTGACTCTTCTTTGTGGGTGAAGGATGGTGTATCTGACCACAGGCTATATCAGCTAGTTCAGGCTAATCCCACCTAAACCTAGAGTGAAAAGATCCCGTGCCCAAATGAAGTTATTTTATTCAGCACTGTCATAGCCCTAAATCATCAGTAAGGAACAGTTCTGAGGAAACTGTTGCATTGGGAAATGAATTGCCTCTTAGAACCCTCTCACCCTGTGAGCTGAAACCTGGAGTAGAGGCAGCCACACGGGACATTTCTGCAGAGCCTGTCAGTTTCCTGCCCCACTGATCTGATCTCGGCCTGAAGCTCCCTGGGCTCAAGCCTCAGATGAGCTATTCACAGCTATGGAGCACAATGAGAACTACATCCAGTTATTGAAACAGTTCCTGAGAACTGTCTGTTGTATTTCTGAAGTTCCAACCGTGGGAAAAGTTCAGGGGGTCTGAGACTGGTGACACCAATTCTGTGAAGCTTGAGTTCATCCCTAGTTACGTCAATTGGGCCTCCCCTGTAGTTCCTAAGCACTTGCTTTTTGAGTCCCAAAATGGAATATTATAAGGAGTTTAAGTGTCCCTCTGGCCCTCCTATCATTTCACTTAACCCCAGACAAACTCTGGGCCCTGTGACTTATCTCTGTATCATATTTAAACATCCAAATACCACATGCACACACAGGAAAATACCATAAACACGCTTATTTTCATATATTTATTTCTTCTTGTTGTATACAACATTCTCAACATTTTGGATTAACCACTGGAAAACTTAGGCTAAAAAGATGAGGAAGAACAACTAGACATGCTCTCTCAGTGGCATGGCTGTAACTCTCATAGCATGCTTCATTACAGCAAGACTTCTGTCATTAAACTTAGGTAAATACACTTTGTAGAAAGGTGGAACATCTACTTACTGTGCTTCTTCAGAAGACTCTTGTTTTATTTTTAATGTTCTCTTTGTGACAGGTATTTCATCTGAAAAACAGAGGTTTTGAAAAAAGTTATATTTTCCTAAGTGGTGGCATACATTTATGTAGCTGAGCAGCTATATGTCTACTGTTTGTTCCATGCTTTCCAATGCGAGAACTTAATTCTAGTGTCAAACACTGTCCAATGCCAGATTTATAAATATAACTCTTACATAATGAGATGCATACATTTATATGCAAGATCAGAAACCAGCTCTACAAGTATAAAATTCTTCAAGGTCACCAGTGGATTTCTAGCTAGGAGCTTAAAGCTTAATTTCATGGCAAACATGATTTTTAAAGGAATGAGAATGAAAATAATTCTGTTCTATTTAGACTTTCTATGTAGGTTTTAGAGAGCAATTATTCCCCTAATATCAGGATCAATATATACTATGCATGTCATTTTTTTCCCCAAAGGTTTAGGTGACTTAACTCTCTCCAGCAAAACCAGAGTTAGAGGATGCCAAAGTAATTTAGATCTTAGTACCGTTTTGAAATTGAGGTAGTGATCACTTAGCATCTGCCCTTCTTATTCTTCTAGTCATCAATTCTCTCTCTTACATTGTGTTAGTCTTACAGTTTTATAACCTCTTCGCTCCCTCTCTCTTCTGATATTTGAGAGATTCCTTTAGATACAGCATTCACAAGAAATATTAACATTTAATCCTTTTTCTTTCGAATTAGGCATTTCTCCGTCATCAGGAGTTCTGTAACATAGTGCCCATTGGCTTTTGTCTTAAGCTAGGGAGGCACATTTATAGTACCAACCCTACTTATCCTTCCTTGGGGGCTACCTGAGTATTTCACTGGAGAGCGAGAACATTTACTTATAAGTAAGCACTCATTACACGACTTGCTATGAATGTACAAAGGTTGCAGCAGAAACTTGATTAGTACTTGCAAATTATGAAAACTAAAATTGGAGCATTTACGGAAAAGAAAAAAGAAAAACAACTACATATACCCTCTTAATTAGTCCACACAAGTTTAGATTTGATGGCCAGGAGTTTTGTTTTCCATTTTTAATGTGAAGACTGGGAATAAATCATTCCAGCTACTGTTGGGATGGGATCCTTTACAGAGTTTGAAGGAGTATGATCCCTGATGATGTTCAAATATCAGCTCCTTTCAAACCAAGGCTTCCCTCATTGATTGTTCAGACTGAAGCCTGGAAAGGGACCTTTTGCAAATCACAGTCAGGAAAAATAAAAGTATTGGGGATAAAGGAAGGAAAAGACAGTTATATCTATACCAGTCGAGCCAAGAGTCAACACTCTTAGCAGTCATCTTAGAACTAAGAGGTGCAGGATATTTTTAATTGCATAGCCTGTCACTGAGCTTCCTTGTGCAGCTCAGACTTAGGAATTCTTCTGTCTTTAGGAATTTTGTGGAACCCAAGTCACTAAACTCTAGGCTGGTAGTTTAAGGATGCCCAAATTGCCCCAAATAGACTGGCTATATGCGTTGTGCTGTCAGTGGGAATGGTATAAGAAGATATTACAGATATGAAGTACCTGTGCACATATAAAGATATGCATATGCACGTGCACGCGCATGCGCGTGCACACACACAGAAGTAACATAGATACTGGCTCTCTTACCCAATTCCTGATCTGTTGGATAGCCGTGGAGATCCTGACTGTGGTTTCCCCAGTCCTCCTGTGAATACTCCTCCATAGTGCTGCCATCTGACTCCAGCTCCTGGTACAAGCCACTACTGTTAATAAGTACAGGCTGGCAGGGCTGAGCATCCCATCCTCCCTGACCAAACACCTGTTCCAACTGTTCAAATGTGTAACTGCTCTTTCTTTTCCCAACACCATGTTCTTTCACCCGACTGTAACACCTGCGAAGGGTCTAAGACACAAAGTCTTTTGTTATTCCTTTAAAGCTGTACTTCCTCTTCCAGGTACGGACCACAGATATTAATTACTATTAGACAGACACAGACAGACAAACACAGACACATTGTTACAGGAATGCTAGATTTTAAATTCATGATTATATTAGAAAAAAATACTAATTTAGCATTTACTCAAACATGTTATAATTCAAACAATTACTTTGCAATTAATTATCCATTAAACAACAAGAAACATTACAACATTATTGCATGTGTCCCATACACGTATTTGTACACCCCCACCCCCATTTTAAAAGAGTAAGAAAAAAAAAAAAAGGAAAACAAGAAATACCAGCCAGCCAATAGGATGCACACCTGCCACAGAAAAGAAAGAGCTGCTATTTGTGCCCAGAATTTGGAAAAAGTGAGGGGAGGGAGGACAGAAAGAAGAATTTCCCAAAGCAAAGAATATAACCTTCCTTACCCTTGATAAGAAGGAACACAGGGTAAAAACAATTGCCTAAACAAATCAGCTGGTAAAACTTGTTACTTACATAGTCCATAATCTTTACTAACTCACTCTGTCTTTGGGGAAGTTGCTAAAATTTAAAAGAGATCAAATCAACAATGCTACAGATTCCCAGTCTCAGACATCAATCATCAAGAAATACACTAATACCTACATCTAAAAATTAGCCAGTGATAACACTAGTCTATTCTACCAACTCAAGCCGCCAGCCAAACACACCAACAAACGAAGCCCATGATTTCCTTTTGCGGGGGAAGTGAGGTGGAAGGGTGTTATTTCACTTCTTTTTTGTGGCACACAGCAAATATCATTATGCAAATCCACAGATGAAACCTGGATAGTTTTATTATCTTGCACAACGCTTCAACTTGCTTCGTGGTCTAACGCATATTTCTGAGGATTTCCTTCGTTTCATGGTACATCTTATGCTATCTTACACGACATTTCAAAAGATAAATCAAGGACTTAGTCCCAGTCCTTGTGCCTTAGTTCCAAATTTAGTTTAGTTACATTCGTCCTCTGTCCCATCGCTGTCTCCTTGTGTTCCTTCTCCTCTCCTCTCCACTCTACTAGGTTTTACTCTGAGGATTTTCGTGACAGACAAGACCCTTTTTCTCTGGTGGCTCCAAATACTTTCGAACTCAGCTGTGCCAAACAAGTTCACCTCAGGCTTACTTTACACCCATGAGCCGGACTATAAACTTCTCCTGAATGTGAGATGACTCTCCATAAGCCAACACGTCCTCTATTCTCGCCAAACAAAAACAACTCTGAATAATCTGTATCGGGCCTCCTCGGAAGTTCAGTACCTTTAAATCGCAGTTGATAAGCTACAGGAAGACACTCTGTCAAATACTTTGCAGATCTGTCCCTCGAGGCCAGAAATCCAGACAGGCAAAAGGAATAATAAACCTAAGACACGGATGATGATCTCCCTCTGACAAAAGCAGAGGAGTGACTAGAGTCACCCCGTCCTAAAACCAGCCAGCCTATCCCCTGCCTCATTCTCCCTTTCTGGAGATTTCTTCTGGTGCCTCAAATGATGCCTTAAAGAAGTTAGGTTTCTGCCACACTTTAATTAGTGTTCCTCCTCTCTCTTTGTAAAGGAGAGTCACAAGTACCTAACACACAACTTTCTGGAACAAATCAGAAATGAACCTGGGAAACGTGTGATGAGCAACCCTGCCAATGGAAGGAGACAAATGCCTGCAGCAGATCTCATCTGACTTCCTACACACTCCCCTTCCCGGTGCCCTCTGCCCTCCCCCCGGGACTGGAATTTGAATTGCAAACATCTCCTATTTATTTTTATCTCACAATGTCTACTTTCTGCCCTCCAAGAACACCCCAGCCACTCTTCTCAGCTCCTGCAAGGACCGTAAATGGAGAGTCCCAGCCATGTCCCTGTCACCCTTCCAAGGCCATAAATGGAGATGGAAACCATGCCACTGCTCACTACTTACTGGCCGCCTAGAGAAAGGCATTCAGCACACAAAAGAGCCCAGCTGGATCTGTCATGGAGGGTTATTTCAGAAGTCAGGGAATAAAACTAACATTCCTTTGAAGGAAGGGGCCACACTTAGGACGTGACCTAGGCGTAAGCAAAGCCACCAATCTTTGACACTATATATGGTGGGAAACCACAGAAAAGATTTACTTTCTCTGAAACCACCGAATCGAGCTTAAAATTTCACTTGGCTTGTGTAATTATGAATAAGGAAACTAGAAATATCTAAGCGTTCTAGATATGGAAGAATAGTCAGATGATATATTTTATATTTCATCAAAAAAGCCTAACAGATCTTGCCCCCTCTTACTCTGTAGTGTACTTTTGAAATACACTTTAATAGTGCAATATGCTGATATGTAAAATATCTATTAGGGGTCTGAATGCGAAATGTTTGGTAACTCCTAAATCCATATGATAGGCATCTGATGTGTTGAAAGATTTCCAAATTGACTTTAACTCTCTCAAGACATAAATATGCAAAAGACGTATCTTCTGGATTCAGTAAAGACCACAGATCCAAGGAGAGGCTGTTTAAATAGCACATATCAACTAAGAAAAAAAAGCAAGAACTTAAACATCAGCTTGACTGCTACTATAAGAAACACTGGTATTTAGATAAACGAGAGGGACTTTGGAAATGGATAAAAAGGACATATGGAGACCTTCCAATCCTTATCATCCATAATAAATCAGAAAAGGTTACACTTTCCACACTCTACATGATTAACCAAAGCATATAACTAAGTGATTGTGTGTCTCTGTCAACAGTCCTAAATAAACCAACTTAACACCTACTGTAAATCTTAGATTAAGATAATGCTCTGGAATCTAGGAAAAACGGAGTCTTGCCTCCCATTTTGGACAGCTGTACCAAACCCAACAAGAACCTCAATTCAGCTTCCTTGGAGAACCATTTCCTGTTCAACACAAAAACCTTGTTTCTCTTCCTTCTTCCTTTACCTCACTCATCTTAGAAATTTATAGTTACTTAGCTCTAGCATTTTTTTAAAAATTAAGATCTCAGAAGGGAAAGAATTTGCTTGAAATTATTAAAGACTATTCTAGTCACAGTGAAGAAGAACACTTTCCTTATTGTTAGGAATGTCCATGGTAAATCAGTGTTACTGTCTCCTCCCTGGGACAAGAGCTATGAGATAATACTATATCCTGAGTGAAGTTATAAGGATAGAGGGCAGGAGAAGTCAAAAAAATCTGAACAGAAGAACTAAAGTATAGGAAACAACCTGACCACGTGGTCAGATCAGAGAAGTCCAAAGGTATTTGATGTAGAAGAAATGCCAAGTGAATGCTTGGTAAATCCACCGTGCCAAGTGTTCAATGACTAGGAAAGGAAAAGTACCACAGGAAAGACGTGAAGGACGTCCCATTACCAAAGCAGGGAGAAAAATCAGATGGCTGACAACTGACAATTTATAGACAGAGGGAAAGTTTTGCCAAAGTTTAAGATTACAGTGAAAGAAAATGAGAGAATAAAGATGACATTCATTGTGGATGAACGTAAGGGGAGTCTGGAGGTAGGGGATGGGGCAGGGAAACAAAGGCAGGAGTTTTAGATTGGCAGGATTGGGGGTTTAACGGCAGCAATGCAGAGAAAGACCCAGGGTTACAGTACATGTAACATTAAATACAGTGCACAATGCAACTATCTTGCCAAAGTAAGTAAATCCAGTATTGGGTTGTATAAGCAGAGGAATCACATGTAAGCTATGAAGGTGGCTCTTCCTCTCTATTCAGCACCGGTGAGGCCACAGCTGGAGCACAGCATTCAGTTCTGGGCATCGAACCAGCTACAAGAGAGGGAAATTGTAGAGTTCAGAAAAGGGCAAATAAAATAATGAAAGGCTTGGAAAATAAGATCTTTAAGTAGGGCCAGTGGTTTCATCAAAGCCCTTCCTGATATTATATAAGCTACTTTGGGGATACAAATAAGGTTTCTTTTGTTTCAGTGTCCTCCAATCCCTCCTTTGACTTTCAAGAAGTGGGGAGAATAGAATTCCTCCCTGGTATGGCAAAGTAGGAAGCAAGCTAAATAAATCATATGAGCACAGGCCAACCAATTCTGCTACTGGCTCAATCATTTTCTCAAAATGTGCCCCATTTCATACAATCATAAAATCATCACCATGACAAAACCACTGTTCTAACAGACCTGTCTATCGATGGAACAGGGTATGTAACAGGGAGGAACAGAAATAAGGCATAACTGCCATATAAACGTGTTGTTTAGAAAACACCGGCATGATCAGTCTAAGATGTCAGATGAAAACAGTCATACTGCAGGGAGGACAGCTTAGTTATAACAGCAGGAAACAGTGTTATAAGAAAAAACAAGCAGTGAAACAGATTTTCAAATGTAGTTGTCAAACTGGCCATACGAGAAATGACTTACATATTATAGTTTATCTTAACCCTCTGCCAACTAAGTATGATTAAATTTAAAATTCTTTAACCCAAATGATTAAATAAAGAATATACTTATTTGCAAACAAAATCTTAAAAATCACATACTATATTCCACAAGAGATAGGGGAAATTACACTGGGAGCAAATCTCCAGTGACTGTTTCTAAGTGTTAAGAACAGTACCTCAGCCTAAGCAGATGTGTACTGCAAAGCAAAAGAAGCCTTTGTGAAATAGATCTATCCTCTTCCTTTAAACTAAAGCTACTGCTTTACTGTGTTGCAATTAGTTGCTCTTAGTTAACTGAGGCAACAGAACAATACTGAGTTTATTTCAATATCTGTAAGAAAGACTCAAGATTTCTTAAGTTTTATTTTCTGTGAGCACAAATGCAGGGGGAAAAAAAACCCTGAAATGGCAGACAACTGTAAAAACATTTCTGCACAGTAAGAGGGATATTAAGGACATAGTATAAATTGCTATATATATTTTTGACACAGAGCTGTAACTAATGATGAGGAAGTCACTTAAGGTAAAATCCATCTGGGGCCAGTAGCAGCTTTACTACCTGCTTTCTTAGGTTTTCTGTACATTAAAATTTGGCAAACTGACTTGCCAATCACCTAATCCTTTAAAACCAACCAACCAAAAACCCCAAGAGGAAAACCAAAACCAAAAACACAGCACTTGTTTCACACTCCCCGGTTCTTAGTGCTACAGAAGTTTTGGCAAGTGAGAAACCTTTTTATTCTTAAGATTTCCTTTTCCTTTTCCACTCCAGAGCAGAGGTTCTTAACTTTTTTGAGTCCTGGATTCCCTCCCCAGAAGAACACACATACAAAACTGTTCCACACAATGTCATGGGGAACATGGACTCTCTGAAGAGCTCATACAAGAACCTTCGGTTAAGAAACTCAGCTCTACGCCATGTGGTTGTTTCTTCCGTAAAAAAAATATAATAGGTATTAGTCAGAAACCCTAAAATGAGGTAGACTTAGTGTGTGTCATAGGTTTTACAAGAGAGTCTGGAGACTGGGGCCAGTTCAAGAATAACTTCTCCAGTTTCCTCAGTATCCTGCTCATTTAGATAAAGCAGCATTAATATTTCCTTTAAGAGGTAAATTAGCAAAATTGCCATTTCTTGAAAGAAACAATTTCTATCAGTAAAAGCATACAAGGATATCAACTTACTCTTCACAAAAATATAGCGCTTTTTTTCTACCTGCTGGGGAAGAAATGTTTTTTCTGAAGTGGCAATTAAACAATAATAAATGATTCATAACATGTTGATCATCTGTTCCAGTTGTAGCACATAGTACTTGATCATTCACTATCTGATTAACTTATCAATAGAGATGCTAGATAAATTACCTAAGGTAACAACTTAGGGAAATGCACACACCTAGAAACAAGTATAGGAAAGTAAGTCTTGACGACCTTCCTTAGTGGATAATGGCTAAGCCTTAACATTTCCCCATTTTAACACTGCCTGAAGACTAAAGGGACTCAAAGGAATAGGCAATGTCTACACTAATTCAATCCTTAACTCAATGGGATCAAAATCTGATCCATTATTCCACTGAAACTGTCATGGTCAGCAATGCCTTCTTAATTACTAAGAACAACGGTCCTCAAACTTTGTCCTTAACTCATCTGACTTTCCTGCAGCACTTAATACTATTAATTACCTATCTGTGTCACCATCCTTGCGAAGTGCCTCTTTTCTAAAACTTTCTGTAATACACTGATTGACAGAGAGCGGGTGGAGCTGCCCAACGCTCTGATAGCAAACCAGGTTCCAACCTCCAAAACATTAGAGAAGTTTTGAATGGAAAAGAACTTTAGAGATCATCTAGGTCTAATTAACAAATGCGGAGTGGAGGCCCCAAGACAAGTATTCCTTCAAAAGGGATTTGCATAGAAAAATTACCAAATGCCACTCACAAAATGTTACTGTATCCTAAGAAAGCTATTCCACTAGATTGTAAATTCCATGAGGTAGGGGTTATGTCTACCTAGTTTGCTGTTTCCCGGAGCCCAGAATAGTGCCTATCACATAAGGATTGTTCAATATATATTTATTAAATGAATTGAGGTAATTTTAAAGTAGTAAATCACTACCAAGAAGATCAAACATTTCTTAGCAAAGAAAATCAGGAAACTCATTGGTTAACCACAACGATGGATTATATTTATAAAAATCAATAAATTCAAGGTAGGTAGGACTCCTAAAACCTTTTGAAAAAAGTAGGAGCCCTAAAGGGTATAAAACAGTTACAGTTATAATTAGCAAAGCAAATTAATTTCTTTGTAACAAAGGAGGACTAACAACAGAGGGCAAGGCTATTTTTAAATATCTACCATGTTACACTTTCTTTGGGGGGGCGGGCGGGATTACCTGCCAAATGGAGCTCTGTAACCCTGTCCAAATTTTATTATTTCTTATGCCTTACAAATTAAATAAAATATTCAAGAATATAATATTCTTTGACAGTAGTTCTGTCAAAGACAGAAAAGGAAAAAGGATTCAATTGCTTCCTGGATTTTAACAGGGTCAGACAGAAGAATGACCACCAGAAACCAAGAGCTCCTGCCTCTCTGGAGCCTTAGTCTTTGTGGGGAACTGTCCAGGATTGAATTCTATCAGCTGCATTTCATCCCCAATCTGCCTATCAACGACTCACTTTTGTGTCTATAACTGGTCAGTATGTCTTCATGAGGAAGAAATACTTGCATAGAACAAATCATTCAGGAAGTTTTGTTCTCATTGAGTATCAACTCCTAAGCTTTCTAGCTTCCTCCATGCTAGGAGCTGAGGGTCGTAATCCATTCAGATTATGAAGAAAAAAGCCCTCAAGGAGGACAATACTAATTGTCAGAACCAAATACCTTTCGTTGCTCAAGGAACTATACTCATATGGCCATAGAGCTTTTAACTCTACTCTGTATGTAAATCATACAGATACTCATACAAAATCTCATATTGGCAGCAATACTAGATAATCTATACCTAGTATGTATGGTCATGTTTAAGGGCTTCTTTGGGATACAAGAACCCTTCTAGACATCTTCAAGGGCTTCTCCATTTAGAACAAGACAGGTAAAAATATTACGGTTTACTGAACTACTTAACTATTTCAGACAAAAGCAGCAGGTAGTTAGTCATCAAACATAGTCAGATAACACTATGTATCTAGAACTTCCCACCTAAAAGGGAAAAGAAATCAGTTGTTTGGTAAAGCACTGACTTGAATTAGAGGTTATTTTCATCTGACCTCCTATATTACCTCTGACGTTGCTACATTAGCATCTCTGTTGAATCTTTTCTCAGTACTTCCCATCCCACGGCACCACCTAGAAGTAGTATTTGGATGATATTAAAATGGTAACTTTTATTAGTATGTGAGAACTAGAAAACACACTCAAGAGAATTACCTAAAATATATCTAGGATAGCAGTGACAGCCATTCATCTTTAAAGTCCTGCCATACAAACGCCGTGCATCACGCAATGACTGCTCTGTAATCAGCCGTGTCTAAAGGTTAGGCATTACACGTGCACACATACACACACATTCCAAAAATCCTCACGGACCTTTATCATTACAATATTGTATGGCTTCCCAAACACAAAGGTACTTTCTTATACTCATGAGACCAATGTTTATGCAGAGCAGGCTCACCCCTGAAACAGGTCACTCGATTCCTTTCGTATGGTGACCATGTGATTCTCTGTTTTGTAGTTATTTTGTTACTAAAAACTACCATCTATGATGCAAAGATAACTTACAATACAGATTTTTTCCCATTAGTAAGTTTTATGTATTTGGTTGTAAAAAAAAGTTAATTTGGACATCTAAGATAAAATCATCTAAAAAGTAAGCTTATTAGAAATCCTCCATCAAGATATCTGGGTACAAGCATTAAGTCAAGATTCAGTCGACTGTTAAAACCTGGTAAATATTAACTTACTTTAAAAGGGTTTAAAAAAAATTTTTTTTGCATTTACATGGTATAAACTATAGGTCATAAATGCATGAAAAGAATACATCTTCACATCCTGACATATAAACTTTCTATGAAAAATCTGAAAATAAGCCTGTTTTAAGTTTAGGCGCCTGTCCTTGGGCAACCTGAACTTATTTAGGAAGTTGTCAGAAAGAAATTCAGGTAATCATAACACTTTTTATAGCTCATTTGGTAGCATTTTTATATTTTACTCTTACCTTTATGAGGACTGCTAAAAGCAATCACCGTATGAAAAAATGTCTGTACCTTCTACAAAAATCAAAACATTTCCACAGGTGGCTCAATGTCCCATGCAATGAAAGTAAACCATAACTACCATTTTCTCAGTGCCTACCATGTGCTGAGATTTGGGGTAAGCA